GGAAGGAAAGGAAAGGAGGAAGGAAAGAAAGAAAGGAAGGGAAAGGACAGGAGGAAAGGAAAGGAAAGAAGGAAAGCAAAGCAAAGCAAAAAGAAAAGAAAAGGAAAGGAAAAGAAAAAGAAAAAGGAGAGAGAAGGTATGAGCATAATTTCCTCGCCAGTTTCCCCTGCAACCTTTGGGGGGGGGGGGAAGCGACCACAGCAGCAGAGAATCCATGGTCCCCCCTGTGACTTCACCAGTTTTTTGGGGTGTGTGGGGGGAGACAAAGTAATGGCATTGCAAAACCAGCTGGTACCTCCGTTGGGCAGGGGTACGTCGCAGACCTCGTAAATCTTGTAGGGCTGCATCGGGGTGTCTTTGGTCCCGTCGTAGATCAGGCTGAACTCCCGGCTTTTGTTGAGGGCACAGCGCAGGTTGGCCTTCCATTTGGCCGGATCCGGCTCGTCCACGCCCTCGTTGTACTTGCCCGTTTCTTTGGCCCAGGCCTGTCCGTGCGAGAAAGGAAAGAGCGTGAGATTTCGGAGGATTTTCCCGCCGTCTTCTCCAAAGCAAAGTCACTGGGGAAGCCTGCAGGAAGTCCCAAACTTCCTCTGGTTCCCACCGGGGGTTATTTTTTGCCCTCCTGGGGTCGTTCTGTTTTGTCTTTTTGAACGAGGGAGTTCTCGATTTACAACAAAATGGGTACAACTATTTGTAACCCCGGGTGGGATGCAAATATTTTTACTACCGGTTCTGTGGGCGTGGCTAGGTGGGTGTGGCTAGGTGGGTGTGGTCATGTGACGGGGTGCGCGTGGTACCTTTTTCTTCTCTAGTCAGTCTCCTGCACCACGGTGGAAGGCCTCTATTTCACCTTCCCCTGGGCCTCCGGGAGGGCCAAAACAGCAGAACCACCGGGAGCGGAGGTGGGATTCAGCTGGTTCTGACAGGTTCTGCAGAACCGGTAGTGAAAATGTGGAGTCGTTTGGAGAACCAGCCAATCCCGCCTCTGACTGGCCCCGCCAACCCAAGAATAGATGTATTCTCTTCCTCCCATTGAGTCCCAGCTGATCGGCTGGGTCTCCTTTGGTTGCCCTGCACAGGAGAACAGAGCTGGAAAGCAGGTTAGTGGAGTGGGGAGGGAAGGGGGATTTTGCAGTATATCCTTCCCCTGCTATGTCCAACAAACCACACCCAAGCCACACCACACTCACCAAGCCATGGCCACCAAGCCACACGCACAGAACCGGTAGTAAAAAAAAAATTGAATCCCACCACTGTCCGGGAGGCCTGTTTTTTGTCCTCCCCGAGGCTCGGTGCAGACCCTGTCCTTACCTGGGATCCAAAATGGGCCTTGTGGCCGCTCCTGGGAGGGGAGGATCAGGGTAAGTGAGAACCGCTAGGGGTGGGATTTGCCCAGGGATGGGATCCTACCGGCTCAGCCTGGTTCAAAGATCAGCTGGGAGCAAACCAGTTCGCTCCAACGATCAGCTGTTGGGCCCACACCAACCCACCCCGGCTCTAGTCTGTTCTTTATTTCCGGGTTTTCCAGCTCAGCATATTCATGCAGCACGCGTCAGCGGTTTAAGACACAGGGCTTGCAGCAGAAGGCGAGTTGCAAATGCTGCGTGCGCATATCGAGCCAGCATTTGGTGGGCATGCGCGTGCTCACCGATCCAGTTATTATACCGATGGAATCCCAACTCCTGGATTGGCAGGTTCGCTGAACCAGCCCTTAAAAAGGATAAAATTGGCAACCGGTTTGTCCAAACCGGGGCGAATCGGTAGCGGCCCAACCACCACCCCCCGCCCACCCTCCTCCGTCCCGGGGCTCACCTTGAAGATGGTGTTCTCGTCATCCTGGCAGGGCATGTGACGGGTGGCGTGGCGCCAGGGGATGCAAAACCTCTTCTGCTCCGGATCTACCCAGCGCAGACCTGGGTACTGGCTGCTGTTCACCTGGGCCACCAGCCAGGGCTTCAGGCGGATGCGACGTGGATGGGGGTTCATTGTTCAGCCGCCCCTCCCCCCCTTACTGCCCCTTGTTGAAGAGCCTGGAAGGAGAAGCCGAGAAGAAATCAGGCACCGGAACCCAAATCTGGAACCGGCAAGTCAGCGTTTTCCAAGGAAGGCCTGCCAGGGGAGATCCCGAAGGGCTCAGTGGCTACAATCCAGCTGCTTCCACCCACCCCGGGCCCTCGGACTATGAGATGAGATTTGAAGGGGCTGGTTTGGGGGGGCCTCCATCCATTGGGACCCAGGAGAACCTCAACCACCTGGACGCTTGGAAGGAAGGAAGGTCACCAACAAGAAATAGGAGCCAGCCAGGGAAGAAGGCGGAGTCTCCTCGCTGACGGACCGTAGATCGCGACTCTCTGCGGCTATGGTCCGTGCTCTTTCGTCGGAGAGCCCCGATCATTACGATTAGGGGCTGAAGCTGCCTTGGAGGGGCGGCGGAGTAAGGGGAAGCCGCAAGCCAGGTTGAGGGGAGCCGCATTCCCCCCCTGGGCTTGGTCTTTCCCCCCCCGAAGACGACTGCAGTGGTGGTTTAAAATGGCCACCTCACAGAGGAGGACTCAGCTGGATTAAGATTTGTGCAGGAGGGAAGAAAGAGGTGGATAACATCTGAACCGGGACAACTGGGCAATACAGCTAAACAAAAGTACCCCGGGATTAAGGTAACATGGAATTTTTAAGAAAAGAAAAGTAAGCAGCGAAATTACAAAGGGACAGGGGAAAAAAAAAAGAAAATATTTTTGACAGCTAAGCGGGGCTTCGAACCAGGAAAGGAAGAAGCCGGAACTAAAGATTTAACTAAATTGGACTAAAATATCTTGGCAATAAACAGGCATAAAATAAAGCTGGATTGTCGAAAAATAATAATAATAAAGTTTACAAATTGGAGACTGGACTGTGCTGGAATATTGAGGTTCGAAAAACCCTAAATAAAAAAAATAGGGGAAAAAGGTGAAGACTTTCCTTGAGATTAAGGAAAGAGGCTAGAATTAATGTTTGTTTCTCTCCTTCCTGAAAATTTGGAATGGAAAAGGTAATAATAGAATTAATTATGCATATATGAATGCATAATTGCTGTCATATTTGTATGTAAAGGTGATGACCCGGAAATATGTTGTCCACTAAAAAGAGATTTTTGTTTTTAATGTGAAAAACTGAATAAAATTTGTTTTTTTTTTTAAAAAGAAATAGGAGTCAGCCAGAGGTGGAATTCAGCCAGTTCGGACCAGTTCTGGAGAACCGGTAGTGGAAATTTTGAGTAGTTTGGAGAACCGGCAAAGGCCCCCTCTGACTGGCCCCGCCCCCATCTATGCTCCACCTCCCATTGAGTCCCAGCTGATTGGTTGAGTCTTCTTTGGTTGCCTTGCACAGGAGAAGGGAGCTGGAAAGCAGGTTAGTGGGGTGGGGAGGGAATGGGGATTTTGCAATATCCTTCCCCGCCATGCCCACCAAGCCACGCCCACCAAGCCACGCCCACAGCTGATCGGATGGGTCTTCTTTGGTTGCCCTGCACAGGAGAACGGAGCTGGAAAGCAGGTTAGTGTGGCGGGAAAGGGGATTTTGCAACATATCCTTCCGCCAGGAGTGGGGAGAGAATGGGATTTTGCAGTAACCTTCCCCCACCACTCCCACAGAATGCCACGCCCACCAAGCCACGCCCACCAAGCCACACCCACAGATCTGGTAGTAAAAAAACTATGAATCCCACCACCGGAGCCAGCCGTGTGCTGCAGCAGCCCAAAAAGCCAATGCGATGCTAGGCTGCCATTAACAGAGATATAGAATCAAGATCACTTAGCACGAATGCCGCTTTACAAGGCCTTGGTAAGGCCACATTTGGAATGCTGCATTCAGTTTTGGTCACCATGATGTAGAAAAAGTTGAGACTCTGGCAAGAGTGCAGAGAAGAGCCACAAAGACGATTCGGAGGCTAAAACACATGAAGGAACGGTTACAAGAACTCGGAATGGCTACTCTAGTGAAGGCTGCACCCCTGTCTCCCCTGGTCCTTCTCTTCCCTAGACTAGCCAGGCCCAGTTCCTGCAACCCTTCGTCGTATGTTTGAATCTCCAATCCTTAATCATCCTGGCTGCTCTTCTCTTCGCTCTTTCTAGAGCCTCAACATCTTTTTTATAGTGTGGGTGACCAAACCTGGATGCAGGACTCTAGGTGTGGCCTTACTAAGGCTTTACACAGTGGGATTAGTCCCTCCCTTGATCTGGACTGTATCCCTCTGTTAGGATTGCGTTGGCTTTTTTGGCTGCTGCTGCACACGGCTGGCTCCTATTTAGCTGGTTGTCCACTGAAACTCCAGGGTCTTAAGAAAGTAAAATAAAATTTTCTAAACTGTATAAAGATATAAGAATAGTAATTATAGCTAAAGATATTATTTAATAGTAGATAAAGGCAATGTATTATGATATTTAAACCAAAATCTTGTATACATGCCAAGAACATTGATGATACCAGGATGTCTTACGATGCACAAAAAAAAAAGAAAATTAATAAAAATATATTAAAAAGAAAAACCCTCCAAGGTCCCTCTCACAGTTACTGTTTGCCTCCAGAAATTGTGAATGCTCCATCACTGGAAGTTTTTAAGAAGAGATTGGATAATCATTGGTCTCCTGTTTGGACAGAGGGTTGGGCAAGATGACCTCTGAAGTCCCTTCCAACTCTGTTAATCTGTTATTCCCTCGCCTTTTGTAAAAAGCACCTTCGGGACAACTATGACCTGGACGATTGGATGATCTCCATAAACATTTTGCCAACGGGCATCGGTAAAATTTCCTCCCCTGCCAAAGCAGACCAACCCAGCTAGAAGCAACGATGCCCTTCCCCCAGGGCCGCCGAAGAGCGAGCGTGTCGAGAAATTTAATATATATATAACGTAACAATATTTTATTATTGAATATAATGATTATAATGGAATGTCTGATAGCACAAATTAGATTTTGCAAAAGTGAAGTTTTGCTCGAAAAGGATGATGTGAATTTATAATTCCAGTCTAATGAGATAATAACAAGGATCATATCATATGCATGGCTGATTTATATAAGATGAAGTTGGATTTAAACCAGGAGAGATAGACAGTTGATATTGTACACAACGAGATATGTACCAACCGACACACTGTATGTAATGGAAAGATGGTTGTGTTTGATGTTTTATGTTTGTATTTGTTAATGTTTGTTGTCAAAGTAAATTAAAAAGAAATAAATAGAGAAGTTTGATATAAAAGTAAAGGTTCCCCTCAAACAGACGTGCTAGTCATTCCCGGCTCTAGGGGGCGCTGCTCATCTCCGTTACAAAGCCAAAGAAGAGCCAGCGCTGTCCAAAGACGTCTCCATGGTCACGCGGCCGGCAGGACTCAACGCCGAAGGCGCACAGAACGCTGTTCCCTTCCCGCCAAAGGGGTCCCTATTTTTCTACTTGCATTTTTTTTACATGCTAGGTTGGGAGAAGCCGGGACAAAGTAACCGGAGCTCGCTCCATGACACGGCTCTGGGGATTCGAACCGCCGAACTGCCGACCTTTCTGATCGACAAGCTCAGCGTCTTAGCCGCTGAGCCACCGCGTCCCGCGTTTGATCTACAAACCAACAAACATAATCAGGGGAAAAAAATAATAATCTCCAATTTTTCATCCAGTTCTCTGCCTTGTTTCCCTTCGTTCCTGCAAACTCATTTTATCTTGGATTTTTGGGCAGGAAATGCAGCGACGGAGGGCTCTTATTGCCCTTGAATCGCCCTATCCTTTCCCAGCGATTCACTCCACAATGGTGGCCAGGAAGGCCGGATAACGGGCCAAACCTCACAGCACCGGCGCCTCTCTTAGCGACGAGAGCTCTGGCCTCCATGGTCACCGTACATCGAGGACTACTACCCATGTTTGCAATTTGTATTCCCGTGCTTCCAGTTTTAAATTACTTTTCTTTTTTCCCCCCAATAATTTGTATTGTTCTTTTTTTTTAATCTTTTACACATTTTCACCTTAATAGTAACAGTATTGTGCCATTATTATTATAAACCAATCTCAAGTAAATATCTACATTTACCTACATTCATATACATTTACCTATAATTTTCTTATCTCCGTTATCCTTATTTCTGTTGTTCAACCATTCATACCAATTGTCCCAAATTTCGTAATACTCTTCTTTATCTTTTAATTTTAATGTCAATTTATCCATTTCAGCACAATCTAGACATTTTTGAATTACTAATTCCTCTGGGGGCGTATTATTTTGTTTCCAACATTGTGCGTATACTATCGTTGCTGTCAATATATGCAATATAATATATTTAACCCTTTTCTTATATTTATCCCTTTCATTATTCCCAATAGAAACAACTCCAATTTAAACTCTATTCGATCTTCCACAATTTCTTGCGTCCAGATCCATATTTTAGTCCGGTATTTTGGGGCTTTTGGGCATGACCATCACATAGGATAGAAGGTACCTTGGTTCCGGTTGCGTTTCCAGCATGTCCGATTCATGTCCAGGTACATTTTAGCCAGTCTCACTGGGGGCAAATGCCAAAGATAAAGGAACTTGTGCCTAAATTAGTTTTCGTAAGGATTGTTTTCATTGCGACTGTTTGTGTTTTAAAAAAATAAATATATATTGTTTTCCTTTCCTGCTGGATGCAGTCCAGAGTCACTTTCGGCTGAGATGTTGACGTTGGACAGACGATTAAATAAATCAAGCACCCACCTGTTTTCCTTTAATGTGGCGATGACTGATCGCCCTGGATGTTGCAATGCCTCCGATTCTGGTTCCACGGGTGTGACCACGCCACCCACGAGCCAGCGGGGCAGCCCAGCCTTTCAAGTGCTTCGTCGCAAACGCAGCCAGGCGCAAAGGAGCGCTGACCCTGGTTGCATTCTTCTTCTTCCGGAGATGTCCCTCCGCCAAGGGTTGGTTTGGGCGCTCGGGCTGCCCGCTCACCTGTTACTGCCATGCTCTCAAAGTGACAGGTGGCCAACCTGTGCGAGCTGCACAGCTTCAGAGGCGTTGGATGGAACGTAGAAGAAT